AGCTGTGTGCTCAGGTATGTCTATAAATTGGAGAAGGAAAGGTAATGACTAACCGCTTCACAAAGGTGACCAGCTCAGCGCATCAGCCCACACCTGGAGGTTCTTCCTTCATCCTCAGATTTTCTTGTTACGTAATTATTTTGTCTTATTCTAGTGCTTCTTTTTCATAAAATGCTTTTCTTGTCAGAGTAAGGTGATAAATTCACAAAGGAGCTGTAAAAAGACCTACAATAGGAATGAGAAAACACTAAGTGTCTCTACATTAGAAACTAATCCTCTTAGCCTTTGGAAGGGAGAAGTGGTGGTGTGGAGCTGACAGGTTTGGTGAGGAGTGATTGGGCTGAGGCACAATAAATTCTGCTGCTCAGGATGTCACTAAATACATTTACGTTCCTAGTGTGCCCTAAATAATGATCTGTTACAGCTTGTTTCACAGTATTTTCAACCAGAACGTGCTAACATTTTCAGAAAAGGAATGATTACTTTTCAGTTACTTTCAGTACTGGCAGTTAACCGTTATGTTTTCTTTTTGAATCTCTGCCACTTTCCACAATGAGGCCATGGCACTGCAGAAGTTGTGTTTGTCTGTATTTTTGAAGGAAAACAGTCACTGTTTTCTTGGTAGGAAGATGCACTGGGCAAACAATATCAAGATGACTGGCCTTGTAAGGGCACCAGGATTGTTGTGGTGTGAATTAGGAACAGCTGTTTGGTTGCAATACTTGGAAAAGAGTTTTCCAAAGCACTCAGTTCCCTTTTGGGCTACTTAAATTTTCCATGTTATTTTCATTTACTGGTTACATTGCAATATCACCAGTGTGCTCCAGGGACACATCTCAGTCCTGCTGTGCAATGAACAGTGGTCTGGAATACATAGCTACACTGTGTGTGGTGAGTCCATGGTGTCTAAATGCATCTGCGAACGCTGTGGGCAGTGGTCATCCCTATTTATTGAGTTTCGATTAATACTAACGTGCTATAAGCCATGGAGAGAGTTCTCTGTATGCCTGAATATGCACCACACAACTCCTTATGATGTGTAAGGATGCATTATGCATAGTCAGAGTCTGAATTTCCTTCTCAAGCTAGATGGGCTGGATTGTTCCTGCTTCCAAAAGTCCGAGACGGTTTATACAACTGATAGCGCAGTGTTAGCTCCGTGTGTCAAGCTAGATAAGGAAAATTAATAACAAACAGCAAAATAAAAGCTCTTTCACTGGCAGAGAAATTCATAAATATAGAAGACTGCTGAACCTAATACAGCAACAAAACAGACATCAAGTTCCTCCTTAGCCACTGAAGTGGTAAATGTTTCACAATGATCTTTTGGGGAATATACAATTTCTGAGGAAGCGCAAACCATTGAAGTGTTCTTTTGCTCACTATAGTAACATAGTCAGCTCTTTCAATGCCCATTGACTTTATTGCTTTTTGTTAAAACAAAGATTTCTTTTACTAGAGTGTTAACAGATTAGTATCATGTGAAAGCAAGTGGGTGAAAAACTCAAAAATCTGTGGAAAAACGTTCATACTGAGAGCAAAATAATTTCAGTCAGAATCGGTAAAAGTATGTAATCATTGCCTTTTACTTAATAGCTTTTATGCAATGCCCAAGAAACTAGGTTTAACTGTGCTTTGCAAAGCACTGTGCTATCATAAATTAAATAAAGTCTTACCTGCTCATTTGAGGCCCCAAACTGCAAGATATTGTTAACATGTCTTAAGTAAATACGGCCTGCTAACAAATTGTTTCCTTTTCTGATGCTCAGTGTGTGCTGCTTTTTTGGTGGTGTGGTTGTTTTTTTTAATGTTAGTTTGTTTTGTTTTGTTTTTTGTTTTAATTAGTTTCTTATTCATAGTTAACAGAACATGTTTTGTTTAGCTACCAGCTTTGTTATATATTGCTGGTTACTGAAATTCATGCAACTATGCTGCTATCTTTTCCAGTGTAGAACGCCTCTTTTGTACACAACTTTTATCTTTTGACAAATGGAAATCTCCACTCCCATTCTTTTCATGAGTAAAAGAGCAAAATAATTCCTCTAAGTCACTCAAAAAGGGGAAGGACAATTTTTTTCCATTATGATAGTTCAGTGTTTTCTGAGAATAGATTTCAAATGTGTAATTACTGGCTTTCAGGAACTGTGAGAAAATAAAACTGCAGCTAAAAAAAAAAGAGAAATGGATGGAGGAAATCAGTTATAAAACCACCTGCCAGTATCTGGAGTACTCTCTGTACAGGCAAACTCACAAACTGACCGCCTAGAAACAAGTGCTTCAGTGAGACAGCCTGATCAACTGGAAAAGCCTACTTTACTGCTGATTTTTTTTTTTTTTTGTATTGGCTCTTGCATGTTCAGAGTGTTTTTTTAGACAACGTATCCTTCCATGGAAGCTTCTGAATGGGTTATATGAAGGTACTTTACAGTATCTTTATGATATGGTACTGCACAGGAGTACCAACTCACTCTTCTGCTCTCACTTCTGATGCTCCGAATGATTTTGGTTTAGTCAGGCAGCAGGAGGAGAATATTTATCTAAACATGGGCCATGGCCAGGTCGATCACTGAGATGAACACTCACATATGACACAGGAGCCAGTTATGCTTGTACCTAACGTGATGTCCTTCACTTCAGATTCCCACAAAACATCTGTACAGCAGAGAATGCTCTTTGCTCTAAATAAATGTGACTAAACCAAACCCTTCTTGGGTACAATGCAAATCTTTCACAATCACTTTGATGAGTGAAGGCCACTGCTATCATTAGATGGCAGCATTTTAGGACTGACTATCACATGCTCAAAATCTGTGAGAACCAATTCAAGTGTACCACTTGAAAGACCACACTGACTTCAGAGCTCATTTCCCAGTTTGTGTCTTGTGGGAATGGTAAATTTGGGACCAGTTTACTAACTTTGACATGCAGTTTCAGGCACCAGATTTTATCTCAGTTAGCACAGTTCTTGTCATCCTGATTTTGTCTTACAGCTGGAATCACTGTCGACATATTACACTAGTGCTGTTAGTTACATGCCCCCTTCACCTTGCCAACCATATGTTCTCTTCTCCAACCAGAGCCTGGGGCTGTTTACTGTCTACCAATTTACCTCTTCATACAAAGTGTTAGTCAGGACCACCTTTGCCAAGGAGGCGAGTCATGCTTTAGCTCTGGCCAAGAAAATGAAGGCTGCGGTGGGTCAGATGTGTGAGATACGACCAACAGAGATGTATCATGTATAATTTCAAACAACATAATATACAAACTTGATTTTGAAGTTGTGGTCTGGATCTTGTGCTGCAGTATGTAGGCAGTGGAACTGAGCTGAATCATGCCATATAAGGACTGGCTGGAGGAATTTTAATGTTGCTGTGTGTTGATCCTTCTTTTATTTATGACACTTGGAATTTTTTAATATTCCTGTTGAATAAGTATTATTTTGTGAGTATTTTTATTACCTGATTTGATCTGCTTAAACACTGGCTCTTTCATCTTTGCTTGAGTATAAACTAACAATTTAAAAATATCTTTGTTATTTTGCTTACGGTAAGTAGGAGTTGAGGTTTTTTTAGTTCAAAATATTCTGAAATTTTCTGATGCATAAGTGTTACCGCCAGTATCCAGAAACCCTTTTGATTCCATGCCCGCATACCAAAAGATTTTAACCTGTGTTAACAAAGTGTTTCACATAGAAGCCAAAGCAGATATAAACTCAATGGAACATATGGGCAAGTGGTGTTACTTGTTTTCACTCTCGCTCACCTCCTGTTTGTTTATTCATGTGCTGTGTGTGGTGCATGAACTCTCCAAGACAGGAACTAGATTGCTTTTTGTATTTTTGACTCTGGTTAACATTTTTAGGCTCTGATTAACAATTATGGGCCCCAAGAATTATCTCACAGTACAGCTGAATTATTTCCATATTCTTGGGGTATCCAGCTTAATTTGTGGAATAATTAGTGGCAGCCTGTTAGGAGTATTGGAATATCTGTCACAGTACTGTGTCTCATTAGCGTGCAGAGATAACTGAGCTGCTCATCTTGGGAAACAAACACAAGTAACCCTAATAACCCTGATGGTTATTAAAGAGTTCAGAAAGATCCAGTCATTTTAATCAGAAATATATGGCTAGCTGTTAGTTTTCCTGCTATCTGTTGTCATGCTTTACTGCTTTTATTTCTTTTCATGTATTTCCAAACTCTATCTTTAAAAGGTTGTTGTGCATCTTTGAGTTTTTAGTAATAAGTCTCCAGTTACAATCGTTATGCCTTCATTGGGGATATCATCTACACTGTCTCTGATATAAGCTGAAATTCCACTGAATAACATCGAAAACTTATTTAACTCAGAGCTTCAGTTCCGAGGCTGTCAGCTGGCTGTCAGATGTGGGTTTGTACCACAGCTCACTGCTCGGTTCGTGGCTGCTGTGGTCACCCAGCGTTAATCTTCTCAGGGCTGCCCCTTTTCCAGAAAAGGAGTCCAGTGGGAACATCCCCCTTGCTGTGCTCCAGCCATGCAGGGCAGGAGGAGATCTCTCCACCCTCAATATTAACAGAAGGAAAGCTTCATTTTCACAATGCTAAATGTCAGGGAGGGTTCCAAGCAAATGCTTCATTTCCACCCCCCCAGAGCAGGGATGATCTGAGGGATGTTTCAGCTCTGCTGTTGGCTGCTGCAGAAGGAGGAAACCTGCAGCTTCTGTAGCTGGGTTTTATTACCGATAAAGACACAGCTGCAGCAGATGACTACTGGCAAAGAGGGGCAGAAGTTGCTCTGAGAGATTTTCTCGCTCATCCCTATTTCCACATTCACTGCATAGCACTAAACTTTCCTATGACCAAAACTTTGTTTCCTGGACTATTACCGGAAAGCAGAAGCCTGGAGAGCGTGTTCCCTCTTCTGTTGGAGACAGCAAAATTCTCCTTTTAATCCTGAATGTTATTTACAGATTAGAAACCCCAGTATTATACAATATTATTTTTGCTAGTGGGAGAGGAAAAATGGATGCATTCAGAGCACCTGAAAATGAGTCGCTGTTGTCCAGTTCCTCTGGTCCTGCCAGATGGGATCCTTTCCGCCGTCCCTTGGACTCCATCCAGCCCTGGCAGTTCAGGCTCCTGGCAGCAGTCATGTTGGTGGTGACCTCCCTGTCGCTTGCTGAGAACCTGGCTGTAATCCTGGTAACTTTTAAGTTCAAGCAATTGAGACAACCTGTCAATTATGTTATAGTGAATTTGTCTGTGGCTGATTTCCTGGTCTCACTGACTGGTGGCACCATCAGCTTTTTAACGAATCTAAAAGGTTATTTTTACATGGGATACTGGGCTTGTGTACTGGAAGGATTTGCTGTCACATTTTTTGGTAAGCTGCATTTGTTTGTAGTTGTATATTCTTTTCCTTCAACTTCCTTCAATGTATTCTACTAGCTTTCCTGCAGCGTCCCAAATCACTTTGCATGCCTTTGAACTCATTGATTCTTTCCCCAGTTACATATAAACTGTAATGGATCTTATGTGTGAGTGAATAATGTAGATCACTGTCTCTGTCATATGTCAGTGGCTTGTCTCATGTGTACTGATCATTGGATGCATTTAATATAATGAGAAAAAGTATGCTAATAGAGTAACAGTGTTGTGTGGGTTTTTGGTAAAACCATACCAGGAAAAAATCACTACGTGTCACTGTTTTCAAGGTTTGTATTTAGGTGCATGCATATATGGATAAATAAGAGAGAGCACAAAAGAATGAATGGCTGCTCTTAAACTGTGGAAGATATCAAGGCACAGAAACACCTTTGTTAGCTCCCCTTCAGTGGCTCTGAGGAACCGTGACACACCTGAAGCAGGCACCCCATGCACCTATACCTTTTTGTACTCTTTTTCTTGACTTTGTTTTACTAACTCCACAAAAAATATTAGAAGTATTCTAAAAGGGAAAATCCTCACCACAGAGTTCCCTGTGTAAACTCAGCTCTGTAGAATAAATGGGGAATTAGTTTAAAATGGGACATCTACTTACTTCAGACAGACGTTCACACCTGCCTCCCTGTTCCTGTTTGTGAAAATGTATAGCAAAGGCAGCCTTTCAGCTCTTGTCACTGCTCCAGATCAAACACTTTGCCAATCCTCAGCCTGAAAAGGAGTCCTACGGTTGCTCTCAGCCTGGTTAAGCTAGACAGAGGTCAGGGACAATGCTACTAAATCCGTTTGTGGCATGTAAGCCATGTCCCATGGAGAAAGATCAGGCTGTTTGAAGTTTTTAGTGGCCAACCAGAATATATATGCCTAATAAACTGATAATTTGATGTTGTGAGCAGCTGTCTGTAGGTTAGGGTTTTATCACAGTCTGATATATGACAATTCTTGCAAAGATAGCATTTTGAAGATATATCTTAATTTGTTAATTTGGAAGCTACACATAATTTGCTGCTTTTCAGAGTGGAACCAAATGAAAAAAGAAGTCACTGTCTGGCCCAATTAGCTGCTTGGTTTTGTAGTCATTATACCTTAGACTGACAAACTAGACAAATAAATATTAGAATAATGCAAAATTGTACATCCTTTCATAACTTGGGTAGATGGAAAAGATGCCTGATGTGGTGGGTGTTCCAAATACTGGAACAGGTGGTCCAGGGTGGTTGTGGACTCTGTGGAGATACTCAAAAACCCAACTGAACTTGTTTCTGGGCAACTGGCAGTAAGGACTGTGCTGGGGGTATGTGGAAGTAGATGACCTTCAGAGATGCCTTTCAACCTAAACAATTCTGTGATGTGGGATGGTATTTGCTTTTCACTGAATCTACCCAATTTTTGATACTGACTGTGTCTTCTTCCTGTAGGCATCGTTGCTCTCTGGTCTCTTGCTTTGTTGGCTTTTGAGCGGTACATTGTGATCTGCCACCCTTTGGGAAATGTGCGCTTGAGGGGGAAGCACGCAGCCCTAGGGATTGCCTTTGTATGGACCTTTTCCTTCATTTGGACCATCCCACCAACAATGGGCTGGAGCAGTTACACCACCAGTAAGATTGGAACTACTTGTGAGCCTAACTGGTAAGGCCACTCTTGCAGAGTATGGTAAAGAAATGAAACTTGCAGCTCAAGACATATCAGGGGCAAGAATTTAAAGGAAAAACTTAAAGATGATGTACATCTCTGCAAAAATGGATGTAAAGGAAGTTGTAACAAAACTGAGCAAAATTTGCCTTGAACAGATTTAAAAAAAAAAGAATAATTCTAAAGGGAGGAGATTTAATCTCTAACGAAAATAATCATCCTATACCTTGTGCTTTGTATCAGAATTCAAAGAGGACAAAGATTTTTGAGAAAACTTTATAAAGCGCTGAGCAACCTGGTCTGGCCCTGTAGCTGACTCCCCTTTGATCAGAAGGTTGGACTACCCCAACTACTACTGTCTCTTCCCACCTGAACTGTTCCACAGTTCCGTGATACTGTCCCTGTGATCACAGGATCCAGTCCTTGCCCACAGCCAGGGAGGTGGCCCAGGGCTCCATCTGCTGATAGAGCTGTAAAGACGCAGTTCAAATAAAAGCAGTTGGCAAAAATACTGGAGACAGCTTTGAAAAACAAAATTAATACTTTGAGAAAACAATAACACATATTAGTAATAGATACACAATGTATTTTGTGTTTTATACAGGTACTCAGGAGCTTATACTGACCATACGTACATTATTGCTTTCTTCACCACCTGTTTTATAGTGCCTTTATTGGTGATTTTGGTATCCTATGGAAAACTGATGCGAAAGCTGAGAAAGGTAAGAAGAAGCACTTAAAAGTAAACTTTTAAAATGTGTACATATGCTAATATTTGGAATTTTTGTGCTTGATTTTCTATAAAGATCAGACATAAGCAGAACAGATTTTCAGGCAGTAAATGCACTCAGTTATTATCCCTTGTTATACAGTTATCCTTACACACAGGAATTCATGCTATGCTTAGAAATGAATTTTCAAAGTGTGCAGTTTGCATCACTTACCAGTAACCCTCATGAGCCAAACATCATACAAATTACAGAATCTCTGCTCGTAACTAAAGAAATGGAATGATCGGTATTGGTTTGTTTACAATTGTACTTCAATTCAGTGATGTTTCTTAAGACTCAAACCAGGTTAATCAGAATTTATCTTAAAATGATTGCATTTGTAAATTTTAAGAGTGCTAGCTAATACTCTATAACACTTATATGCAGAATAAGGTGCAGCATTTGTAAATAATGCAATGCTGTTTAGTAAAAAATATTAGATTGTTAAGGAACATTTAAAAGACTTGAGAAATGCTTTTGAATTTTATTTAATGATTATGTTGTTGATCTGATCCAAAAGAGAATCTGTGAAAAGTGAAATAGAAGACAATAGAATAGCAAAATTCATATTTGGGACAGGATTTGGGGACAATATTTTGGGACAATATTGTATTTCTATTTACTGTAAAGCTGCCTTGTCTTATTGCTTCAGTAACAAATTCAGTAAATTTCTTCAGTTTACTGATGTGTTGAAAGTATTTGGGGTAGTTAAATGCTTGTATTTACCCCAGTGTCATTTTCTACAAGTAAAACAAATACATGGGAAATGCAAAAAGATTTTATTTATTCATTAGAAAATACAGATTGGCACATGTGTACTTCAGGTGACATCACGATTCCTCTAAATGGATTTTTCTTGATTTCCTCCTGGATGCATTTAGGGGAGAGAAGGTTAAATGGCTGTGAGAGGTTGATTTCAGTGTTAAGCACAAGAAGGTTTTCCGGTGGAATGTTAACTGCAGCACAGACATGTTGCTGCTGGCAGTGCTTTGGTGGGGTAGCACAGTGTTTGCTGGTGGGGGACATGAATTACAAGATATGGAGATGATTGAAGAAAATCATTACTGCCGACTCAGACTCTTCTAAGAGAACCTGTAAAATTATGATTCTGTTTTCTGAATACCCATCTGCAGGGATGGGACAGGGCCACCTCCTGGAGGCTGTTCTGGGAGGGACATGGGGTAGAAGAATATTTTCTAATTTTTTTTAAAAATCACACTTTTCAGTATGTTGTGTTTCACACTCCCCTTGCAGCTTAGTGACCTGTCAGATCACACGGCCAGGACACACTGGGGCAGCCTCAGGGCGCCTCATCACAAGTGTAAATCACCGTGGCTTGTTGTCAGTCCTTGCCAGTTGGCTTGTGTTGGCTTTTACAGAGAGATGTAACTGACAGAGTTGGCTTCTGTTACTTGTAACAGCTTAAAACACAGTCTGGTGTAGAAACTCCAACCGCCTGCAATATATTCTGTAAATTTATAATGAATTGCCATAAGGCTATATCTCACAACTGACCTAATTTTTTAAAAATCTGACTACGATGAACTGGCACCAGAGCTAGGGTCTTGATGTTCCCAACCAACCCTCTTCCCAGATTGTGACTGCCCTGTTCCACAGCTCCCACAGTGCAGACCTGGTTCTGAGCAGCACCAGCTCGTCCTAGTACAGACTGCTCATCCCTCAGTCGCTGTGACCACAGCTTTACAGTGCCAAGAGTAGCTTTCACTACAACTGCAAAACTAATGAAAGAAATTAATCTTTAGGGAAACATCTAATTAACAGTTTACAATGGAGATAAATTAGTATGGCAGCATTAATTTGTTTATAAGATAAAGCACCAGTATCTGGATCCTTATCAGTTTCATGTTCCCAGAGAACATGAAAGGAGAGAGGAAGGAAGAAAGAGAGGAGAAAGGAATCCACTGCCATCCATGAGAAGCCATAGCTGAGAAAAAGGCCAGAGATATGAGACAAAGACTAAACAGTCGAAAGCACAATCCAGGAGATTGTGCTCCTTCCCCAGGGTGACTGCGCTGCTGCTGGAAGGGAGGCTGGGCTGCTCTCTGTGTAGGTACAGCAGATATGAAAAAATGCTATAGAAATATCATGTATTGGCAGGGAATATCTTAGGGATACTGCTGCTATCAATACCTAGAGACAAAATGTTCTCTAGTCCACTTTCCTGCAAGCCAAGAAGTCCAGTTTTAGGCCTTGTGCAGACCCAGAGCTGTTGTAAGCTACGGTAGCTCCGTTGAAGTTAGTGATGTATGGCAAGTTGTTTCACCCAAAAGTGTAGCCCTAATTTCTGTTTCACATTTTTAGTGGTAACTTATCATCAGTTACTGCAGTCACTCATTCTGACAGGGTCATTGTATTCTGTTATTTGCCATTCTAAATAGAGGCCAAATCTTGTCTCTGATTTGTCTAAAATAATTAGGCTTACTTTTCTCACAGATGGAATTTAATGGTATTTCTGCACTGCCCTGGCGTGGGCTGCTGCAGCACCCATGAAGTTACCTGAGTTAGATTAACTTTTGTGAGGCTGGACAGCAAACCCGTGCCATGCTTCACTCCTGATGACTTGGCTGAAGCTTGGGAGTGTCTATGGGCCGCAGTTGTGCTGGGCTGCGATAGTTTTCTACACGGAGATTGCTCTAATAATTACTTTTTGCTCTTACTTTGGCAATATAAATATAAAGATACTTAAGCAAAGGAAAAGTTAATAATGGGAATATGCAGTAATTCATGTCCATCAGCAGTGACATTGACACCCTGTAGTCCAGTAACAACATCCTTATGTGCTGTCATACTCAAGAAGAGCAGATCTTTCCTTCTAGCCTGACAGATGAGTAGCCTGGGAACTCAATTCACTGGTTAGAGGCCTTGTAATTTGTTTTCTAGAATCTTCTGTCTTTTCTTTAAAGGTATCAGATACACAAGGCAGGCTGGAAACTACCAGGAAACCTGAAAGACAAGTGACCAGAATGGTGGTTGTTATGATCATTGCCTTTCTAATCTGCTGGACGCCATATGCCACCTTTTCTATCCTAGTCACTGCATACCCCTCCATTGATCTGAATCCTCGTCTGGCAGCAATTCCAGCTTTCTTTTCCAAGACAGCTACTGTTTATAATCCAATTATTTATGTCTTTATGAACAAACAGGTAACATATGCTCTCGAAGTGTGTTTAACATTCATTATTTTATATTGTCTTGCTTTATAATGAGTTATTTCTACCTACCTACATCTTAGTTAACTAGCATTGCAATATCCAGCATTTTGAAAAAAAATTTCACTGTGTATCTATCTACTGGAAGATAGCATAAGCCTCTGTGCATTATGAAAATATGAACATGAATAATTATTAGGTTTAGATAGCATAAAGGAAAATCAGCCTTTAGTGGACACCAGTTAGTTTTCTGTATGAAAATTTCAAGGCTGTCCCAGTACATTTTTGTAATCCTTTAGGAATGCAACACCAGTGAGTTGATTTTGAGGTGGGATGGAAGTTTTCAAGATCTTGAATTTGAGTCAGGGGAAATGCTGCATTTGGGGCTGCTTGTGCAGGGAGGGTAGAAGCATTTCACATGCCTATGGGACGGGGACCTTTCTTCTCTGGAATGGGGTAGAGGATTGGATGAAGAGAAAAAGAATTAACAAGGGGGTGAACCAGGGTGAAATGTGTTCACTGTGGTAACAGGCATGATAATAAACTTGCATAGATTTATGCAATGAATGTGGCTACTGAGAGTGCTGGTATCAAGCAGAGTATAAGAATAAAAGTGAGAAGAAGACAAATGGTAAAGTGATTGTGAAATAAGAAGTGATGAATACATTTATTTATTCAGTCCTGCAGAGAAAGCTGTTGCTTGTCTCACATTCTGTGGACAGCAGCCTGACACAGATTGCTTTATAGAGATATTTAAAATTCCTTATGTGTTTTGATTGATTTCCTTTTTTCCAACTTTCTAGTTCAGAAAGTGTCTGATTCAGATGTTCCGCTGCAGTGCTATAGAAACTGCAGAGTCCAACATGAACCCAACTTCAGAGAGAGCGATGCTAACACAGGACAAAAGAGGCAGTGAGATGTCTACCATGGCAGGACGTAGCACCATCTCTAAGAGGAAAATGGGAGATGAACACAGAAACTGCCGATCTTTTGCTCAGTTGGAAGCTTCAGAAAACAAAATCTGCCCCATATAGGGTGGGAGATATGACCATTAATGCATTGCTACAGCATATTTCCTTGTTACCATCACTTAATATAAAAAATGTTGTTAGTGGGGACATGATGCTCCTGTGGACATTGGCTTTGGAGATTCTGGGCTCCTGAGTGCATGTAAGTGTTTCTTGGCTCTGCGGTTGCAGTCAAACATCCAGTCATAAGGTGAGTCCTGTCCTCCACTGTGTTCCTCTTCCCAATTCACAGCCTGCTTGCTCCTGAAAATACAGTCCCTGTCACTGTAACACAGCAAGGAGAGGGGTGTTTTACGCTGGTGATGGCTCCTTGGTCTGCTGGACAAAAATGTGAAGCGACACATGGCTTCAGAATGCTAATGAACAAATAAGAAATATATAGCACACAGTGGACTCAGTTTCAACCAATAGAGGTTTGGGGAGGAACAGGTCTAAGTGCTTTTTTGTTCTTTTGGGTGACAACTATTATTTCTGTTTCTTAACAATTAGAATTTTCAGAGATCAGTGGTTAAAGAATATAGATACTATGCATGTGCTGGGCCACGTTACCTTGCACTCCTGGGCTAGGGCCTGCCTCTCTGGAAAGTATCAGCAACATCCCGGTGCATGGGCAACCTGCAGCAGCCAGTGGCACCAGGCTTCTGTTCTTGGAGGAGCAGTTGTGTCTCCCTCCCTGCAGTCCTTTAATTCCTGTTTCTGCCGAAGCCACATCCTCACCACTTTTAATTGAGCTACTGATCCTGGCATAAATCATTAACTTGTTATTACACCTTTGGTATCAGAAGCAAGGAGTGCAACATAAATACATATTCTGTAAAAAGTGAAAAAGAACAGAAATTGCCAGCTTTCCATGGTTGTTTCCATCTTATTTCTTTAATTCACACTATGACATGCAGCAGTGTACTTAGATTTAGCAGAATGTCACTTAGGCACATGCAAACCCAAACTAGGCCATGGGTGTAATGAAGACATCTATTTTAAACAGCCTTTGGTGAACGTCGTATGCAGTGTTGCTAAGGCCTGGCATGTTGGATTTTGAATCCTGTGTAAGATTTATATTTAACTGAATGCACTTTAGAGGAAAAGGCAACATCTGACTACATATAAATGGTTTAGTATGGAAAAACATTATTTCTGTATAAGACTTTAATATAGTGCTAGTCAAAACAAATGTTGTTCCATAGTTGTATGGGGAAGCTACACCAGCTACACACTGTACAGGCCTTAGCAATAGAAATGTGATATGGAGTGAATCATCCAGTGTTCAGGTTTAAGTCAAAAAATGTTTCTTTACACAGAATAAAGATAATTCCTTTCTACCAGATTTTTCTTCTCTTTTTATTTTGTTCTTACATTTGGAAAAAATATATTGCCTTGAGAAGGAATGACAGGGTATCTGTGGTCAGACTTGGTCCCAGAGCAGTACTTTGCTGCATTGGAAGTCAAGAACCATCCCTGCAGCAGATGAGGATGTGGGGGACTGGGGAAGCACTGTGCAAAATATATCCCGAAGCCGTGGTATTTGGCAGAGGCTGACAATTCTCTTGACTTCTTGACAATTCTCGGGCTCAAGGGGAGAAATGCTGCAGCTCCCATGGAGGGTGGAGGGACAGGGACAGGCAGTGTGGCCTGCAGCCACCCTGGCCTTAGCAGGCTCACGTGGCTGCTTGGCCACTCGCTCCTGCCTGTGGCCCCTTGAGGCATTCTCACCAGCAGGCGTACAGAACAATTCAGCTCCCAAATGTCTGCACAGTCATGGCTTTTGGATGCATTTTGCTTTTGCTCTGTGCAGGCAACCTAAACACTAAAGCAGTAGTGACAGAAACTGTCAGCTCTTCACTCCTCCTCCCTGTCACCAGCCTTCTCATGGGGATGTGTTTTGGGGGTCCCACCATCTGCAGCCCTCACTTCTGAAGGCAAGGGAGGCCGGGGAGGAAGGATAGACTGTTTCAAGCAAAAGTGTCTGACATCCAGGACAAACATGTTATAATAAGTAACTATGCATACCTGCCTTAGGTAACTGCTGATGATCTTTTTTTTCCCATCAAATATGTAAGAATTATTCAGTAAGATCTTTCTGTTAAAAGAACTTTTATAAGTGCATAGCTAAAATGTGATCCCCTCAGCAAGTGTACTTCTGTAAAGCTTTCCCTTAACACTCTGCCTGGACCTGCTCCTTTTCCCCTTTCCCCACCTCCCCATTGCTCTCACAGCCAGCCACAAATGCAAAGGGCCCAACCATGCTCTTTGCTTTGCATCTTATAAAAGCATTATACACCTCTTCGGCCCTTTTCTACAACATGTGTCCTTTGCAGAAGATGAGGAGCCATTGGGAAGCAGTGGTGGTTGACCATGCAAGGGGTGAACTGCAGATGAATGAAGAGCTGGCAAGTTCCTGCAGTTGGAGACCCAGCACAACAACTGCAAGGTTGGAGGGCAGGACTGGCACGAAGTGAGCTACCGGAGTGAATTAGCAGAAGTAAGGAGGGTGAGATGGGCACCTCTACCATTGCGCCAGAAGAGAAATTGGCATCATGGTGAGTCCTCCTTGCCCAGTGGTAGCTGCGGCCATGCCAGACAACACAAGGAATGGACATGGTCTCTGGCAAGGGGCAAAGCACCAGGAAGAAGACGCTGCTCAACAAGCAACACCTGGGAGCAGCCAGGGCTCCCTGCTTTAGACATCATGGTGCTAGCCAGTGGCTTCTGCAGGAATCTTTTTATCTTTTAACATTTCCCACAAAAGGCAGCCATGCCTAGGCCGTCCAGGCCTCACCACCCTTTACCCTGGAGCTGTCAGGCTATGTAGCTACTTAACAATTTCCTTGGTCAGAGAAATTCAATTGCAAGACACAGAGAAGTAATTTGTAACATTTTAAAAACTTACTTTTAAATAAACAATTTTATACAGTATGATCCTCCTCTTAACTCATCCTGGACTCAAAATTGATCTGAATTTTATCCCTTTTATATTTTCTGAGTAGGATTATTCAGATTCAAATGCCCTGTTTTCATTTTAGAATGGTAAGAACCAGTGAGGGGAGTGCACATGTGAGAACTCACTGCAAGACATCCACCGTCTTCGTATTCATCTCACAAAATTTCATGAGGTGATTGTCTTTTACAGCATAATTTTGGCCTTGGATTTCTGCAGTGTTCAAGCTTAAACCCAAGCTATGAACTTCATTCATAGGGATCTGTAGCTGGAAAGGCCGACGAAAAGCTCTTTTGGGGGCTTTTTGGACGCAGGGCAAGCCTCGTGGTCGAGGCTGACAGGCGGTGGGCGGGCTGCTGACGGGCCTGGGCGGCGCCAGCACCTCCGGCGGCTCATTTAAACGAGCCATCAAGGCGACTAACGGTCATAGCGGCAGAGACCGGCTCCAGGGCAGGTAAGACTGCGCCGGGTGAGGGATCTGTAGCTGGAAAGGCCGACGAAAAGCTCTTTTGGGGGCTTTTTGGACGCAGGGCAAAGCCTCCTCCTCGTGGTCGAGGCTGACAGGCGGTGGGCGGGCTGCTGACGGGCCTGGGCGGCGCCAGCAACTCCGGCGGCTCATCACATCTGATAAGGAGCCCCGCGGAGGCTAGCCTCGGCCCACAGAGCCACAAGCAGTGCTCGGGGGCGTGTCTTGGTTAGTGCCTCACGCGGCTGTGACTTGTACAACAGCGTCCTGAACCTCTTCCTTTGTACAAGGTAAGTTCAGTTTCTTTCAGTAGTTACACGACTGGCACTGAGCCTCCCGCTGTCTCTTGCAAACAGACAACAAGCTATGGTCAGAACTAGGTCGAAGGCCATTGTTAAGAAAGCCGTGGGCACTCAGACAGAGGCCCCGCATAAACATGTGGGTGTCCAGGCCTCTGGAAGCAGGGAGTGTCGGGGCCTGGCCCTTGCCATGGAGGGTAGTGGCGACAACACCTGTGTGAGATGCGAACAGGTGAATGATCTCCTCAGCCTGGTGGTTGAGCTGAAGGAGGAAGTGGAAAGGTTGAGGACTATCAGGGAGTGTGAGAAGGAGATAGACTGGTGGGCCCACTCCCTGAGAGTAAGGGAACATGTTGGGGCCCCACATACAACAGAGGACCATCCCCCCACTTCTCACCCGGCAGTAGAAGGGGACCTCGGAGAGGAGGGGGGATGGAAAAAGGTCCCTGCTAGGCGAAGCAGGCAAATCTCCTCCCTGCCCCTCCCACCTCCCCAGCTACCCCTCCAGAACCGATACAGGATCTTGGAAGAGGAACTGGCTGCTGGAGAGGAGGATGGAACATCTTGGCTAGAAACATCAGAAAAACCAAGGGTCCTGCCTCAGAGTGGGAAGTGGAACCCTCAGCAGCCTCCCCCACGCTCCCAAATACACTTGTTTGGTGATCTGGATTTTGGGGATGAGGCAGATGATACTGGAGACGATGAACTCCCCAGCGAGGCTCCCTGGATGGGTCGCCCAGCCCCGTGTCTCAGGACCTCAACGACTAAGAAAAAAAGAAGGGTCATTGTAATCGGTGACTCTCTTTTGTATGGTACAGAGGGCCCAATCTGTAGGCCGGACCTGTCCCATAGGGAAGTCACCTGCCTCCCTGGGGCCAGGACTAGGGACATACTAAATAAAACTCGCACCCTGGTTCAACCCTCGGACTACTACCCACTTCTGATATTTCAGGTGGGCCATGATGAGGTAAATACTAGAAGCCTCAAGGCAATGAGAAAGGATTTCAGAAGTCTGGGACAACTAGTCAAGGGATCAGGAGCACAGGTTGTGTTCTCCTCTATCCCACTAGTCACAGGGCAGGATGAAAGGATAAATAGGAAAAAACAACAGTTTAACTTATGGCTGAAAGGCTGGAGTAAAAGCCAGGACTTTGGATTCTTTGAGCACAGGCTGACTTACAGGTCACCAGGCATGGTTGCAGCAGGTGGGGAAAGCCTAAGCCAAAGGGGAAAAAGGATATTGGGACAGGAGTTAGCACGGCTCATTGAGAGGGCTTTAAACTAGATTTGAAGGGGGACGGGGTTGGAACCAGGATCGCTGAAGTGGTACCCGGGAGTAAACTAGAATTGAAGGGGGAAGGGGAGAATACCAGGCCCAT